AACTCAGTTTGAAATCGAAATTGTGCTTTTAATACCAAATCTACATTTTTCATAAGCACTTGGACAAAAATCGGTGTACCAACCGGTTGTAAACTGCAACCTCTCAAACCCACTTCAGATATTTGTGTGTTTAGTTGTTGGCGGCCAAGTGTCCAAGACTGAAGTTGATAGCGTCCAAGTGTACAAGCTTTCTTCATCTTGGGGCCATGTGACCAATGTGGGTACACCACGCAGTTCACAAGAGCATCAATTTTCGGGGTACCATTATATCGCAACGTTTGGCTCCCACTAGGCACCGGAGCGTCCCCCCAGTGCGGTCCAATTTAGTGCAAGAGATTCTTTCTTGCCGCGAATGAGAAATGAGAAACCATCAAATCGCAATGGTAAGGGTCATGATGCATGATGTTCAAACTAATTCTTGTCTTGACCCAATTGTTTGCTTTGCGCCACCGAGGCAAAGGTTTCCTGGCCGCTGATGAAAGCGCCGGGCCCTGGCTCAGGGCACGACATGCAGAAGCGGCAAAGATCCCAGACACTAAGCGGCAAAGCATCACTGGGGTGATGGGTTTAATCTTTATCTAAAAACTTTGAATTTTTAGATATGAGTTGCTGGGTTTATATAGTTAATCATAAGATACGTTTTGTCTTTTCCATCACAGATAGCTTTTGAAATCTTTGCTTGAGGATCGGATGGGACTTATAGTTGTTCTTTTTTCTTGGGTTGTGGCGCTGTGACATGTGGCATGCAAGGATGTGGCCGAGAACAGAGCAGAGTATCGGTCTATGTGCTTCGCAACTCCGGGCTTGAGCGAGCACATCGGTGGAGTGATCCTCCACTGGGAGACGCTGTTTCAACAAGATGCACAGGGCAAAGCCATAGTGGACATCATCAAGGACAATGGCATGATCCCTGGTATCAAGGTGGACAAGGGCTACAACAAGAAGCTTGGATTTGCTGGTGATTTTCTGAACTTCCCCTTTGGTTGCGCCGCAAAGAAAAGGGGGTAGCTGTAGCTGAGCTATGGAAATCCATAGGTGTCCCGGGCCCCGTTCGGAGATGATCTGCTTGATCTGGTGGATTTTCTATAGTTCTGGTCGTTTACTGGAGGGTATCACCTGCTTATCCATCTATGAATTACTGTACCTGATATTGGTAAAGTGATTGTCTACAACCCAAATGGGAATTGACTTTGAACCACACGGAAAATCAAAATCGTATTAGATGCTGAGTTGAACGGGTTTTAACTCATGTAACGTGATTTAAACTATTAATGTGTAAATTTGTACTGAATCCTTTTTGTTCCTTGCAGCTTCGATATTGCAACTCCAAGGAAGGGCATATGGGGAACTCCGGTTGGCCCTTTGGGACACCCGGAGGTGGCCACTGTGGGCTTGGATGACCTACAGCAAAGATGCCACCAGGCGGTGGTCGCTACTAAAAAGGGAAATCAATCGAAACCACGGCAACTTTTTATGGCAAAGTATAGATGATCATAGCAACATATAGCAACTCTTGGATGGAAAATGGGTTTACCAAAGTTTTGAATAGGCTATGTCTTTGTCATCTCTTTATCATCTGCCGTTGCATGTCTTCCCGCCAGGCCTATGAGCAGGGCGCCCGCTTTGCCAAGTGGCGCAACGTGCTGCAGTTGGACCCGGCGAAGCAAATGCCCACAGAGCTGGCGATCGCAGATTGCGTGCATACCTTGGCGCGCTATGCCTCGATCTCTCAGAGCGAAGGCTTGGTACCCATTGTGGAGCCGGAAATCGTTCCCAATGGAAACACGGCTGGACTTGGGGGTAATGGGTTAGATGGGATGGGTTGGGGGCCTGGGCTTGGGGGAGGCTGAACACAGCCAATGCTCACTAAGGCGATCATGA